AAACCAAAGGAATAATCTCAAGCAGGTGGCAATTCACCTCAGAAAGTATTAGGGAATCTTCTCTACAATAATAAGAGCGGGAATATATCCCAAGAAACTAGATACACCAATCAGAAAGGATATACGCACCCCTATGTTCATAGCAGCACAATCTACAATAGCCAGAATTTGGAAACAGCCTTGGTGCCCGTCAGATGATTGAATCCAAAAACTATGGTACATCTACACAATGGAATACTATGCTGCCATATAATAATAAGAGCGTAATATGCCAATTAGACCAGACGTCCTTCTGCTCTACCAGACGTAGCTAGGGCTACGAGGGAAGCCCGGGTCCCGGGTCCCAGGTGCCAGAGGGGAGCTGGTGCCGGCAGCTGGAGAAAGGAAGGCCTACTCTTACATGAATTTCATTCATCGGGCCTCTAGTATTAGAGATAAAAGATAGTGTCTCCATGATCTAATCTCCAGAGTATCCAAAATAATTCAACATTATCTTAGTCTGGAAAAATTCTAAATTTGGTGTTACCAAACACTCACCCAGCTTCATTTTAAAAAGATCCCAGTAAAGTTACACAAAATACCTTCCAAATACAGCAGGAAGATAAACCAACGATAACAAAATGCTTAGATGGTAATGCCAAAGAAAAAAAAAATTAAAGTTGGCAACATCGAAAAACCAGTTCATTCTTGGTTTTGGTCCAAAAGGTTCTTAGGCTGCTCTTTCATTCATTCAACCAATACTTTCTGAGAGCCCTCTCGGGGCAGGTGCTGTACCAGAACCTCAGGAGACCAAGGTAAATCAGAAAGACGAGATGCCGCCTCAGGACTTCACATGCTAATGGCGGCCTGGAATATTGGGTGACAGTAACCACATTAACAAATAACTTAAAAGAGTTACAGAGAGCCCTAACTGGTTTAGATCAGTGGATAGAGCATTGGCCTGCGGACTGAAGGGTCCCAGGTTCGATTCTGATCAAGGGCATGTACCTTGGTTTCGGACACATCCCCGGTAGGGAGCGTGCAGGAAGCAGCTGATCGATGTTTCTCTCTCATCGATGTTCAAACTCTCTATCCCTCTCCCTTCCTCTCTGTGAAAAATCCATAAAATATTTTTAAAAGGAGTGACAGAGAATAAAAAGTGATATGAAGGAGGAACCCTAACACTGATGGTCACTGTAGTTATCACATACCCAGCTCGTACCAGGTGCCAGGCACTGTGTATAAGGATCATTGCAATTAGCTCACTCTAAGAAGGGGTTCTATTACTTTATAAATGAGGAGAGCAGGCCCAAAGTCCCTCAGACAATCAGTGGCAGAGCCAAGACTTGAATCTCAGCCACCTGGGCTCAGAGTCCAAGTTGTGTCCGTCCCCCCCACCCTTTCCCCTTCCCCCAATGATCACACCACCTTGTGTGTGAAGTACAGCAAACAGAAGAGGAAGAATGACTTTAGATAAGGTGGTGAGGGGAAAGCCTGTCAGAAGTGACAGGTGAGCAGAGACCTAAAGAGCAAGGCAGGGAGCCCTTTTTTCTGGCCGTCACTAAAGACTAAGAGGACTTGACTGTTAGGCCATGCCTACTTTATGCCTTATGCACATAAGGAATGCTTATTTTTATGTTACATCTACAGGAGAGGAGCAAGTTGCTAATGTTTTCAAGACTGGGTAAGTGGTATCTTAAACAAATGACTGGGAATCAAAGTAAAATGATAAATTTAATGAAAATGTATGTCCGTCATAAGCCTACAATATACAAAGGTGTTTGAAAAACCATCCATAATCCGGTGTTTTGTACTTACTTCGTTCAAACCTTCTGCTTGCTAAGAATCATGTCATCCTTGCCCAAATGACGGCTAGACTTGCATGAGTCAGCTCCGAATTAATGAGGGTACTAAAATCTTTCCATTCTAGATGGTAGAACACTGATATTTTTGAACAAAGAAAGAAGCAAGATACTACATTCTTTTTTTTTTTAACTGTAGTCAGTTCTTGACAAATATACTTTTTTATACATATCCTGCCAGCGTGTCTTCAAGAATTCCTGTGCTTCCTCAAAGAAGTCTTACTCCTCACCATTTCCAACCGGCTCAAATCCAGGAAGCTCCGGTCTAAACAGACTGGAATCCACAACCTCTGGGACTTCGGTGGAGAAGGGTCTGAGGCAAGCATTCCCAGGAGGAAAGACCAGATGTGAAAACAGCAAGAGAACACTATCTGAAGAATTTAAACAAAGGCTCCCAGGGACAGAAGGCAAAGCCATTTATACAGCCATTCTTGCCCCTACCCAGTGCCCCCAACCAAGTTTCTCTTGAAGAATTCAGTATTTTAATCATAGGCCATCTGTTTGCAACTCACTCGATTACTACCACCATTTTATTACCTTCCCTAACACAGGTAGAGACCACAGTCCACAGTTACAGAAAGTTGAGGAAGGAGAGAAAAGACAATTGAAGATAAGAAGGGAGGGCCAGCTAGTCCAGGAGTGTTTCCCACTATCTCTGTCCTCCCACCCAATTCTCCCTTTACCTATCTCTAACACTGGGCTCCTTTCAAATTATCCCACCCCTTAATCCCATAGCTGAACATCTGACCCCAGAGAATCCACTCCAAATCCAGAATCCTAACCCCCAGGCCCATCCTGTTTAGTTTCTGACACATGCAAGTTCCTTGGGCCTTCCCAGTACCAAAGCCAACGGAGGAATTGGGGTGAGGGGAAGGTCCCAGCTTCTGCTGGCAAGCCTGTAGCAAATGAAGACATTCCTCTGGAAACTTGGAATTCAATTCCAAACTCATTTCCCTCATTATACATGGTGGTGAGTCTTTTATTTGATCATGACTGCACTCTGGCATCCTCTGAGTCACAGTCTGATCTGAGCTTCAAACCACTGTGCACAAGACACAGCAGTGCCAGACCCTATGAGATATATTATCTCATTTGATCTTCTCAAAACATCTGGTTGGGGTGGGGGTGGGGGTCAGTTTTTGGCAGCACCGTGAAAAAAAGCAAAAGTAACTAATATTGATGGAGACTTAAATATATGTTTACAAGATCTAAAGAAAATAATTCACAAATGAATTTTTCTAACACAGCCTATTTTTATACTGGGGTTGGTCTGGGCCCTGAAGTGGTTTATAGAGCAAAAGGAAAAGCATTCTTCAGAGAAAAAAAAAAGCCCCAAGTTTGATTCCTAGAGTTGGCTTTGCTCTGAGACTGCCTCGTAAGACCGTCTCCACTTTACTCAAATGGCTGAATTTCAGTAGGTTGCTATTGAAATGTATTAGCAAAACGGCTAAGCCAGCTGTCACTCATCCCCACAGGCTTCCCTCCCCACCAGAAACTTCCATCTGATGGCCTGACATCAAAGAAATAGCCAGAGTCTCCGAGAGATGGATGATTTATTTACCTGGTCTCAACGGGCAAAGTTCTGGTTCAAATGAGGAAAATGCTCATTTGAAAGAAAAGAGGCAAGGAGAAAAGAATGAAAATCCCTTCCACTCGAGCAGCAATTTCTCTTTCCAACTTAAGACAGAGTAAAGAATCCAATGACTCGAATGACTCTGGACTTCTCCCGGGTGGGTCTTTATGCCTCTCCGAGCAATTCTACACCCGTCCAATAACAAAAGCAGCGCAATCCTTTTTCCTGCCTCACACACCAAGTTCTGGCATGCAATTTTGATAATACCTAACAAGTAAAGACAGGCTTTCCTTGCAAAGCTTGTGCTTACCCATGCTCCGCAGTGTAACTCGTCGAATTCTTGGAAATTGTGGTCATTTTCCATGACCCAGAATCGGGCTATATAAATAATATACAGGAAGGGATGACTGAGAGTTAAATTTGTTTTTGGTGTCTACTTCCAAAGGAGGAAAAAAAATATTTCAATAAATAAGACTATCTGAAGGGTATGGAACAAGTTCAAGGCTCATAGATGGTCTGAATTACTTTTCCAACTGATTTTGCATGGGAACTTTGGCAATATCACACTATCCGGGGGGGAAAACCGAGTGTCATTTTAGCTTTGAGAATCATGCCAAAACAAATGCCTCAGATAAAAAGATGGGAAAATAAGTGATAGTGGTTTTTCTTTTTCATGTGCTTTGATGTCTTAAATAATAGAATCGCATTCAGTTCCTCAATCAGTGCTCTTACTTTTTGGCTTTTGCACACACTGGTCTGCCTGTATGAATGTTCTTCCTGCCATAAAAATTCATCCTTTCCATTTCTCTTGGTTATCCATCACACAGACACCCACTAAGAACTCACTCTTCCAGAAACCTTCTGTGACCTCAGCTAACTTTGTATCGTCGTTTGGGTTGTATTTCATTCTTTGAGACTGCCTTCAATTTTGTTTTCAGCAACAACAACAAAATTATTTCGCCGAAAGGATATGCAAGTGTATATCATGGAATGAAGGCATACGGTAGCTTGCAACTTCCTGGTTCTTTTTAAAAGAATATATTTTATTGACTTTTTCAGAGAGGAAGGGAGAGAGATAGAGAGCTAGAAAAGTCGATGAGAGAGAAACATCGACCAGCTGCCTTTTGCACGCCCCCTACCGGGGATGTGCCCACAACCAAGGCACATGCTCTTGACCGGAATCGAACCCAGGACCCTTCAGTCCGCAGGCCGATGCTCTACCACTGAGCCAAACCGGTTTCGGCTCTGGTTCATTTTTAATCCGTGTTATTCCTTAAAATAATGGTAACCATGCTATTTTAGACATATTCTCTAAAAAAAAACTTCACTTCAGATTGGCCACAACCTTTCTGAACAAAGCTAATTAAAAACAGGGACAAAGACTAGTTTTTGTTTCCCCCCAACCAAAGTTTTACTGATATATTATTGTCATACAACACTGTATTTTTTAAGGTACGCAACACAACGATTTAATATATGTCTATATTGCAAAACAATTATTAGGACTTCTTAATACTCCAATGGCTTGATTAAGATAATGCTTGCTAAGCTAAATACGAACATGATATATCTACAGATGAACCTACCTCCACATAGGAAATTGGAAATATCCCTATTTTGTCAGCCAGCATTCCTTCAGCCCAGTTTTCATCCACTCTGCGGATCACAGTCAGAACATCATCCTAAAGAAATAATAAACATCAGTCTACCTGACCCCATCAAGCTTGTCACTTAATTTATCTTTTCAACGGAGGGACTAAAGTTTTAAGAATACAGGAATAAAAACCCTGTGACATGCCTTTAGTACATGAATCCAATGTTTTGATGAACTAAATGGTAACTTTCAGTCAACCTGGTGTCCTTCCAGAAAGTTGTTAAACTAGGAACTCCTTCTAATTAGGGGCTGGTTGCTCACTTGGTTTAGATCCACAGATTGTAACCTCTAGTGCTCCCCAGCCTCTTAAACCCATGTTTTAGATGGAGTCTCAGGCTCTTGTCACTTTCTCTCTGATAATACACCGAATGCCCATTTAAATGCATATCCCACTGTTTTTCTTTACGTAAAACACAATGCCCTACTTAAAATTCCAAAAAACACAGGGATTATCAATTCAGTTGATATATTCCTGTGTGCTTTCCAGCAAAGAAATTTACATAGGAAATAAGGAAGTAATGCTGTTTCATTTTGTTATTCATAATTCAGTGAATTAAAACCCCTGGTGGCACACATACCCTGTATAGCAACCTAGAATTGAATTTAGGCTCTAAATATGAAAACGATACCACACAGAGCATCAACCAAAATTACCTTTCATATTGAACAACCCAAGCACAGAACTCCTTTCTGTGGGACTTGAAGAAGACTGCTTCCGGGTGTTTTTAAAAGCACAGTGGTATAGTTCACACTACACTATTTTACCTTTTTTTTTTTTTTTCTTTTTGCAAAATGAAATACGAGCCCCATTGCTGTGTATCCAGGTACAGGGGACTAGCTGGCAAGAGGAACACCACGCCACCCTGACATTACCTTTGCGAACGGAAGGCAATCTTTGTCTGCTTCCTTGTCTTTCACCTCAAAGTCGTAAAGTGCTTTGCACTGAGGCGGGGGCTGAGGTAACGGCTTGATGATCTGCACGAAGTTGGTGGGGAAAAACCCATGGATCCCGTTGACTTCCCCGTGGTACCAATTCTCATCCACTTGCCGCCGCAGAATGATGATGTCACCTTTGCTGAACTTAAGGTCTCCGGGCTCTTTCCCTTCGTAGTTGTATAATGCTTTGGCACATGGTAACTGAGGTATACCCTGAAAGAAAAGAGATGAGTTTTAATGGAAAAACATCCCAACGTGTCTGAAAACTTAACTATGTTATCATTCTTTTCAAGCCAAGGTCAAACTAACATTTTACCCCGGGAAGAAAAAATATCACATAAAAAAATTTATACATGTGTCTCACCAAGAAACAGCAAACAAACAAAAGTCACAGTGAAATAAGAAGAGTTGACCACCCATGCACACCCCCTAGGAGTTAGCCTTCTGCTCCTAAGGCTCATTTTGTGGGGTTTGTTTGGAGTATTTATTGAATCCATGGAAATACAACTGCTGAGTCTGGCTCCCTGGTGTAAAATTCAAAAACAGGTAAGTAAAAAACAAAAACAAAAAACCGAACTTATTGCCTGATAGTAACTACTTTATTCGGCAGGATACAAGATAAGCATCGAGAAGAAAAAATTTAAGTAGAAGCACAATTCATTTAGTGACTGCTCTTTTTTTTTTTTTTTTTTTAAATATATTTTATTGATTTTTCACAGAGAGGAGAGAGGGATAGAGAGTTAGAAACATCGATGAGAGAGAAACATCGACCAGCTGCCTCTTGCACACCCCCTACCGGGGATGTGCCCACAACCAATGTACATGCCCTTGACCGGAATCGAACCTGGGACCTTTCAGTCCGCAGACCAACGCTCTACCACTGAGCCAAACCGGTTTTGGCTTAGTGACTGCTCTTAAACTTGGTGGTTAAGAATCAAGAGTTTGGCTTTAGGCAAAACTTCCCCAACTGCTGCGTTGTTGTTTTTTTTAATTTTTTTTTTTTTATTGATTATGGTATCACATAATTGTCCTCACCATGGCTGACATGTACACATAAGACACTGTTTGATATTGAAATTGGGACTCAAAAGAACTGTTGGCCCAGAAAGGAACTCATTACAAACTGATTCATTTGCCTCTCAGCATAGCCATTATGGCTTGTCTCAGTTTCGGTCCTTATAAAGGAATTCCTTGTATCACATGATCCCAACTGCTTTTAGTGTGGACAGTAGGACCTACTGTCTCATGAGCTCTGGTATTTATTGAAGGTCTACTATGTGCCAGGGCCTGGAATACAGCAGTGAGTCAGAGACGGCTGCTGCCCTCTCAGAGGGGATCATCTGTGATCAGACAGACATACGGTCGTTCACAATCTGCATAAGATCCTTCAACTCTGCGCTTTCCTGGTCACAGAGCACCATGGGGTTGATATGCTAACAGTGGAGGTTTTGAATGTTACTAATTGCATTCTGATTTTAAATGACAGGATTAAAAAATGTGTGTGGGTGCTCCAGGGAACCTAATCATCAAATGGGTTAAATATGGTATTTCCCCATGGCACTGGAGGTGCCCCTTCTTGAGCATGAGCTGTCACTTTAAGAAGAACTCTGGCCTATCTGAGACACAGCTGCCTATCCCTGATTGGAAGACTAAACGGCCAATCAAACATGTGTATCGTAACTTCACCGAATGAGATTACCGGGCTCCTGCTTTTCACGTAGTTATTCATTTATCCATTCATCCAGAAAACATGTATCGCAGGCAACATGCTAGTGCTGAGAACTGAAAGAGGAACAGGGCTCCGTTCTTATCCTTAAAGGACAAGATATTAGGTATAATTAGAATACAGGATAGCGAGGGCAACTACAGAGTTATGCTAGGATACGAAACTCAACCACCGAGAGGTGACAGAGGTGCTTCCGAAGGCACAGGTCTGCGGTGGGTGAACAGTGAAACACTTCCTCGAGGAAGTGACGCCTGAGCCAGTTAAAGGATACTGAGGAGCCAGCCAGGCAAAGCTGGAGGGGAAGAATGAAAGAGGAGCGAGGGCACAACAGGCAGAGCACACAGCCCCAGCAAAGACACGGAGCGTGCTGTGCAGCGGGAGCGGGTTTTACACAGAACACGGGTGTTCCCGGGGGGGGGGGGGGGGTTGTGGAATGTCACGTTAGCAGAGGCTCGGTGGTGGAGAGTCTTGAATGACATGGGAAAGAGCTTCGATGGCTGTGTCCATCCCTCTGCCAGGGACAAGCCACGTCCAGGTTGGAAGCACCGCCAGCCATGAGGAGAGCGGTGTGCCAGGCAGATGGGTCTGGCAGCAAGATGGAAAACGGACAGGAAGTGGGCTGGCAGGCAGACAGCGCTGTGCAAAGCACAGGCCTCGACTAGTTGAAATAGTTTTTGAGTTTCCTCTTTCTAATGAAGTCGAGCGAGAGGGAGCATTACTCATGTTACTACTCACTCCCTAGCGACCCCCTCCCAACCCCCCCCAAAAAGCAGATGAAAGTGTTACACCCTGGATGGCAACAAAACTTCATAATGTAGTTTAAAAAAAAAAAAAAAACAGTTTGGTTTCTGGTCAGAGATTTAGAGTCTGACCTACTTATAAAAGCCAATTTTTTTTTTTGTTGTTGTTGTTAATTTTGTTTGGCTGAAGGGGACCAAGCCAATTCTTGGATCTCCACATGCTATTGGCAGGCGTCTTGGCTTGGCTTGGCCGGTAGGATGTTGTGTTTGGTTAATGAGAGCTGCTCTGGAGGCCAGTACTCCGGAAGACGGGAGTCGAGCCTTCCAGAATCCTGGGACCCTCATGTACCCTCTGACTTTGGGCCCCTGCCTGAAGATCCTGCCTCAAATGGCCTAACTCCTGCTCCCCATCCTTGACCTAATCTTGTCAACAACCCGGCTGCACCCTTTGCTTCCCCAGAAGAAACTCGGGTGCTTCACAATCCTGTGATTTTGAGTTATATTCCACTCAAGGTCCAACCTTATGGAAGGATTCTTCTAATCTCTGTCTACTCTCATGGAGAGACCTCCCTACATTCTCTTCCTTACTACGTCTTTCTTGAAGTCTGTTTACCACAATTTAACAATATTTCCCAAGTCAGGCTTGAGGAAATAACAGTAAATAAACACAGCCATAAATATTACTGTGAGAGCCCAGCCAGCATGGCTCCGTGGTTGAGCGTCGACCTGTGAACCAGGAGGTCCTGGTTCGATTCCTGGTCAGGGCACATGCCCGGGTTGGCGGCTGGATTCCCAGTGGGGAGCATGTAAGAGGCAGCCTATCAATGATTATCTCTCTTCACTGATGTTTTTCTTTCTCTCTCTCCCCTTCCCTTCTCTCTCCGAAATCAATAAAAATATATTTTAAAAAATATTACTATGAGGGAGAGAGCAAGAGGGATTGAGCCAGAGACAGAGCACTGACAACTACTGCAGTAAGCGAATTCTTGGAACACAGCTGATGGGACCACGATCGGACAGCAAAGGGCACCTTTTAGGAGCCCACACTCCAGAGCCAAATGCCTGGGTTTGAATCCCAGCTCAGCCATTTACAAGCTGTGTGATCTGGAGCAGCTTGACTTCTCTGTGCCTCATTTCCTTCATCTGGGTCATCATCGTGAGAGTTCAGTGAGTGAATGTATGAAAACCACTACAAAAGGCCCAGCCGGCAGCCAGTGCTACGAGCGTGAACTATCATCATCATCATCATCATCGCCCAGAACGAACAGCCTGTTTGCCGGGGAAACACAGCACCTGAAAATGCATTTGTCTCCCTGCAGCTGGACGCCTTTCTTTTTTGGACGAACTCACACAGCAATTACATTTTAATACATATTCACTGTAGAACAATGCAAAGAATGCTCCTTCTAGGAAGTGTTGGGGCTTTCGAAACGTGCACTTCTGAAGCCCACATTTGTTTTCTGAGTGGAACCCATTCATCTTCTGGTTGAACAGAAGAAATTACAAATTCACAGACATGCACCGTTTAATAGGGGATGGCGTTTGAGATGTGGCTGTAGTTCATCTTGACAGGGCTAGTGGGAGGCATGGGATGCCTGCGTGAATTAATTGAAAATCCTATTACAAACTTAGTGACAAATAACTCTATTCGCCATTACGGCCAGTTCTCTCAATCTTCCCCCTGCCTCAGTTAGCTCTTTTTGGCCTACTCTGCCCAAATCCATGCACCGAGACACTGAGCTAGCACTCTTAGAAACCATTCTCAACTGCTCCTTGAGGAGATCTGTAACATTCCCAACTGCCCACAGTGTGGTTCTCTGGAGATACGCTGATGTGGGAACTGAAGGAATTTATTCCTCCACAGATCACTTCTACACACCAGCGGCCTCACAGACGCACTAACGTTTCCACCTACAATCATCCGTCATGCTTATTACAATGAGCAGCAAGGATAAAGCCTATCACAGGGGCACCCATGATGGTTAGCCTAGTTCAGTGGTCAGCAAACTACGGCTCGCGAGCCACATGCGGCTCTTTGGCCCCTTGAGTGTGGCTCTTCCACAAAATACCACATTCGGGTGATTGAAACTTCGTGGCCCATGCACAGAAGTCGGTTTTCGGCCTGGGCCAGTGGTCAGCAAACTCATTAGTCAACAGAGCCAAGTATCAGCAGTACAACGATTGAAATTTCTTTTGAGAGACAAATTTTTTAAACTTAAACTTCTTCTAGCGCCACTTCTTCAAAATAGACTCGCCCAGGCCGTGGTATTTTGTGGAAGAGCCACACTCAAGGGGCCAAAGAGCCGCATGTGGCTCACGAGCTGCGGATTTGCCGACCACTGGCCTAGTTACATCTCCGTGACTGCAACCTCACACGCACTCATTCACACTGACGTGCTAAGGCTATTTCAATGATCAATAACCGCAGAGAAAGAGTCATAAAGCTTATGGCAGTCTACCCCAGGAGCAGACATCTGTGCATCTGGCTGCGTTTCTCTATGGTGCTCTTTTTCAAGTCAAAGAGGCTCAGACGCCGGTTTGCGTCAAATTTCTCAAAAGAAGGTTTCCCACATGAAATGAAATGAATTCTGCTCTGATTTCAAATCAAGCCAAGTTCAGTGATCTTTAAAAGACCTCTTCCCACACAGACGGCCGATGATTCAGGCTAAGCGGTTAACGACTTGGAAGAGCAATAAAAGAATGTATTTTTCCTTCTGCCACATCTGCAGGATAAAGTCAAAACACTG